GCCGCCTGTGTTGGGAAGGTCAACCCTTCCTGAAGTGCACTGCGGTAGCAGGAACCAAGAAGTGCCACCGTCACCATTTCCCATTTCTGTAAGGGGATTTATTGTTTGTCATGGCCACAAATGGCACGTTCGGACCCATGTTGCTGCCTTTTTAAATAAAAAATGGTGGCAAAGACCTGAAATGTTGCAGAAATGCACCTCAGTTGCTGCAATTACTAGCCCTCTAGACTGAAAGTTTGCTTAAAAATAAATTCTTAAATGATTGCAAACTGCCAGAGAAAAAAGATGTATGGTCTGAGTTGGAATATCCTTTTCTTCATCAGGCTTTGTTTGTATAAAGCAGTGGAAAATATAACAAGGAAAAACAAAGTTAGGGTTTCTAGCAGTACTGAACCTCTGTTGTCGAAGCCTTCCCTTGCAAACCACCCTTTGCTTCCTCCTTCAGCTGGCCAAGTCCCCGGGCAGGACACAGTGAGGTGTCCCGCTCGTCACACACGCCATAGGAAATGAGTTTCCTGCGGCTCACATCCAGCTTTGGTACTTCCATTACAAGAACCGTCCTTTCCGATTTCAATTCTTTCCATTAGTAATATYGTTGGACACCACATCTGTCTGGAAAAGAGCTTTGTTTGGGGAATCAAATAAAATAATTTAAGAGGGATTTGCTGCTTGCTGTGTAGTCCTTTGGGAGAGGGCRAGTTATTCCAGTGTTAGGTAGGAGGTTCAGCCATGAGTGAGGTGGAAAAGGTGTTGAAAAGCAGAGGAGTTGCCCTGCCTTATAGCAGCGTATCAGAGATGCAGCCTGAAGAGGACAGAGCTATTTTAATGTAAAATATGAGTAATGCTAGAAAAATCTGCAGAGTTTTACTGCTGTAAACCAGCCTGGAATGTGATCTGCAACTTTATGGATATGTTTCTCCTGTCACTACTGTACATTTACATTGGCATGGCTGAAATATCTCCTTTATGCACTGTAAAGGTGTCAATATTGAGAYGAAGGCTTTGATGTAGTTTGCAGAAACTTCCCAGTAACATATTATATATTTCAGTCTACAAAGCTGTATAGTTATGGATTAGAAAGATAGTGAAAAAAATCTGAATTTCTTGCCTGCATAAAATTCCAAAATTCAGAATAGTGATCTATTTTGAGATGAGCAATCATATTTTTTAGGGAAAAAGAAACACTTAAGACCTGTATTTCTTAACTAGAGCAACACTCACTGCAAGGAACACTGCCTCAGTGAATGTTAACTGTGTGTCAGGGGAACCAAACTCAGTGACAAGTTTATAGTGCCACAGACTTAGCACCTGGCATAACCAAAACAGTGACTGCAATAAAAGACAACAAAATATAGGGCCTATCCTGAAGAAACTCTGGTCCACATGAAACAGGAGAGTAGATTGGCAGCCTGCCCTAGAAACCCCTTCTGAATGCTATGCCCTTATATCTGCTGCCAAAACATATGCAAAAAAAAACCCTCTTTTTAGCTTACTTTACTTTCTCCAGGTAACTCCAGTTTAAAAAATAAGGTTAAAAAAAATGTGTTTGAAGTAAATAACACTATTTTTTGAGAGTCCCTTTTTCAGTTTATCCCTCTTTTGAGCTAAGCGGATGATACCATTCCCCTTATACAGAATAAAAGGGAACCAGCTAGTGAAATGGAGGGGTTTGCCCTGGATTAGCATCTCCATTTTCTGAATCCCAGAAAGTGTTGATGCTGCAAGAACAAGTAATTCAATAAACAGCAGAGCCAATTAAACCTGGGAGGCAAGTCAGGCTACTTCATTAGGTTCAGTCAGATAAGTTAATGTCGCCTTACTTTGACTATTAAAAAAGATGCCTGTCTGCTTTTCTAAATTAATACTGCTARCTTTTTAGCTTCTATGAATTCGTCGACTAAGGATGATAAACAATTCTGGGCGGTTCTTCAGGCCTTAAGAGACACATCTAAATGAGTTGAGTCCTTCTTGGAAGCATCTCTCTGCTGACTGTAAGAGCAGTCTAGACAGCAAGGTTAGATTCAGTTTCTGCCTCTCAGATGGCTTAAGTTAGTGGTAGAATTCATTTCACCCAATTTATACGCTAATATTTTAGTCTAAGGGACCTAAGAGTACCAGGGTATTTATGGAGGGCCTCCAGTTTTATGTCTCCCCGTCCATTATATAGATAGTTGACTGTGGGGCATGGCTTTGCAGGTTAAGGTGCCTAAACAACAGGCTGGCTCTATGGGTTTGTGTCATGTTCAGCTAACTTCCCAACTAAATTATTCTCCAAAGAAGTAGCGAGGAACTTTGACCATGGGCTGGCTACAACATTCATACATGTCGTTCATTCCCAACCTCTCCTCTGTAATATGGGTTCTCTGGTAGCAAGTAAAGATTGACTCTTTCTTTTGGAAGAAGCACGTAACAAGATTTCATTCCTTTATGCAGATTTCATTAAATGTATGAGATCCTCATGCTGTCCTGAATTCTGTGCACCTATAAACTTGGCTGAAATTGCGTGAAAGACTCAAAAGCTGTTAGGCCAACACAGACAGACCTCAATGACATGATCTTAGCTGTGGGTGACTGGCCTGAGTTAGGCAATCTTTGCTAAGTAAGAGTGCAGACRCACCTATATTTTAATAAGAAATAATAGCTTGAATTAGACCTAGACTAAAGCTTTTTATTTGCTGCTTTAGCCCRTCTATTTTTGGCAATTTTGATATATCTCCCAGTTCAGCCCTGGAATAAAATTGTCATCTTCTTGATCTGCTTCAGATTCTGTGAGTGGTTCAGCAGRACCTGTGAGCTGAAACATGTCCTTTTCTCCAGCCACTTTTTATGATCTAACACTTAAGGACAAGTTGATGAGAATGCTTCCAAAACTGCAGTATTCCAATAATTGATTTTGTACAATTATTTTGATACAATGATTG